GCCGCACACTGCCCCAGTCTGCGCCGACAGTGACCGAGCATCACGATCCACAGCCGCGGCCACAGCAGTTCTGCCTGCTTCTGACACCGCTGATTCTCTCCCACACAACTCAGCCCCTGGACTCACACAGCGGGGCACGGACTGAGTCCCCAGTCTTGTGGTTTCTCTCCCCCCCCTTTTCTCCCTCGCCCACAGCCTCCTCTCCCCGTGTGGATGCACATCCTCCGGCACACCAGTTCCAGATAGACACCACGGATGACGCGATCCTTCACACCGGCTGTCCATCCGCTGGTCCCATGAATTAAAATGTAAGTGCTCATTCCTTTTCCTCAGCTATCCATTGGTTTTCGCCTTTTGCACCCATTGTCACATAATTTTCCCTGTCACCTTCCCTGGGTCTTCCGACCCGGTCAGTTAGCCCACCTAGTGTTGCGCCCTTTTGGTTTTTTGTTTCTAGTTTGCATATCCACAGGCACTCCCCCTGGGTTTCAGGGCTGCACACTATTTAGGGTCACTAATTGTTTTACCCCCTCAATACCATTACAAGAGCGCTGTTTGTACGATTTGTGTTTTTGCACAAAGGGTTCCAAGAACCATAAAGTTCACTTTGTTATATGCTTAATGATACAAACAAGGTTCATCACAGCTTTTTGATATTTTGTGGTTATTTTAATTTTTTTCATTGTTTTTAAATAAAAGGAAATGTTTTATCTTAAGAACTTGGCTGGGAAACTTTCAAAAAGCTTGCATTTTATTGTATCTTATGAGATGTAGTGATTGCCTTAAGAGTTACTTATGTCTATACTTTTTAATAAGGTAAAATAGGTAGAAACTTGGCATCAGTGCTTTGAGGACATATATTGTTTTATTCTTTGCTTTTTGAGCAGGTAGCTATAAATGATTTGTATTGTGGATTCTAATAGAAAATAAATCCAAGAAACAAAAAAGAAACTCAACTGCATTGGATTGAAATATATTAATTTTACTACATTCTGCAACAATAACTTGGGAAATAAATAACAGAAATAAGGTAACGAAGGAAACAGCCAAACTTGGACATTTTAAAAACCTATACAACAGTGGTTGCAATAACTTTAGAAAAGTATGTTAAATACTGGATTTTTTTTTGGAACACAATTTTACAGTATTACCTTTGAAAACATTATGCAGGTGAAAAAAGTCAAGGTCACAGTGTTGTATTAGACATTTAAACATTACTAATATAACATTTATTTTTCAAATTCATTGTTCAATCACTGAGTATTCAACAATACAGTATAAAAAAATCAGTACATTAAGACATTTTATTTATATCCTTATCTTTATAGCAGAAAGCTGTATTGTCGTATTACAGTAGCATAGTTGCACTTATTTTTATGTAAAAAGCATTTTTTTTTAATTCTTAACCGCTTACTGTCCGGGCATTTTCTTACTATTTGCGCACACATGATAAAATATAAATGTTTGGCTAGAAAACAGCTTGGCTAGTTGCAATTTTTTATGTCACACGGTTTTTGCGCAAATGTTTATCAAACCAGTATTTTTAGGAAAAAATAAACGAAATTAAAATTTAGTGCACAGAAACATAATATAATGCCCATTTTTTGGGTAAAATATGAAAGACGGGGTCACGCCGGGTAAATAGATGCCAAACATGTCAAGCCTTAAAATTGCGTTCGCCCGTGAAGCCGCAGAAAAGTCAATACCCCAAATCTCCCATAGGAAACATTTTAAACGCTTTTACCATCAATTTAGTGCTAACAGTGATTGATGGCCCTAGAAAAATTGCTCTCACTCTGACGTTTGCGGCGATATGTAACATGTGTAGCGCAATTGTGGTTTTCGCACGTAGGCGCACCGACGCATGTTTGCGTGTGTATGTGCGTGCACGTGAGGGGCGGGGGGACTTAAAATTTGTTTTTGCATTTTTTACATTTTTCTTTTATGTTACTTGTTTATTTTTTACACTAACCCGATTGCTATTACATAGGGGGCTAACAAGAACCCTATTTAATGGCAGATAGGGTGTGACAGGTCCTCTTTATGGAGACATCAGGGGTCTTTCTGACCCCTAATGTCACCTAGGGACCCCAAAGAAGCTGAGGAAGCAAAGATCTGCTTCATGTCCTGGCTCTAAGAGCCGGAGACTGTAAGAGTGACACCGGAAGTGATGTAGTACACATCACTTCCAAGCACAATACAAACGTTCAGGCGGCTGTACAGACACCGGATCGCTTGTACATTTACAGCAATCGCCTGCTGTTAAAAGTGTTACCAGCTCTAAAAGCAGTAAAAGCGGTTCTTGTGTTAACCACTTTAACTGGCCGCCGTCTATAGACATATTGCGGCCCGGAAGTGGTTAAAGGAAAAGCATACTTTTTGTTCAGTTATCCTTTTTAGAGTCAGATACCCTCCCTTCCCTAGTAACCCTTTTAAGTGTTATACTTAACTGTTCCTGCTCTGCTAAAATTCTTATGTGTACCCTACTCAGCACATGCATCAAGTCTATTGAAAAGACTTTACCACTATATTAACAGTAAAAAGGTAAGAAAGGAGCAGATAGGCCCAATAAAGGACGAAAATGGGAAGTTTCTCACAAGTGACAAGGAGAGGGCCGAGGCGCTGAACAATTTTTTCTCCTCAGTATACACTCAGGAGGGAAACGGGTTCGACGTACGTGATAAAACACATAGTTCAACCAATAATATACCACAATGGTTGACGGAAAGCGGAATAGAACATAGACTTAAAATGCTCAATGCAAATAAAGCAGTTGGACCAGATAACCTTCACCCCAAGGTACTTAAGGAATTAAGCCAGGTTATAACAAGACCATTATTCCTAATTTTTAAGGAATCCTTAGTGACTGGTAGGGTACCATGGGATTGGCGGAGGGCTACGGTAGTTCCAATATTCAAAAAGGGGGCTAGATGCCAACCAGGGAACTATAGGCCGGTCAGTCTAACATCGGTAGTTTGTAAACTGTTAGAAGGTATAATTAGGGATTATTTGGTAAAATTTGTTAAGGATAAGGGCATAGTTAATGACAATCAGCATGGGTTCAGGAAAGACCGTTCCTGCCTGACTAACTTGCTAACTTTTTATGAATGGGTAAGCAGAGATATGGATGGAGGGAAGCCGGTAGATGTGGTATACCTGGATTTCTCATAGTCATTTGATACGGTACCACACAAGCGCTTACTTCACAAGCTGAGGGCTATGGGCATAGATGAGGTGGTGCGCACGTGGATAGTGAACTGGCTACGGGACCTTCACCAGGGAGTATCTGTAAATGGCACCTTTTCGGACTGGGCTAGTGTAATGAATGGTGTGCCTCAAGGATCTGTGCTGGGTCCGATACTGTTCAACCTATTCATTAATGACATCGGGGAGGGAATAAATAGCCATGTTTCCGTGTTTGCAGACGATAAAAAAATAGGGAGGGTAATAGACACGGAT